TTAGGGTTTAGGGGTCTAGGGTTTACTTTTTGATGTGCCCGAAAGTGTTAGGACCCTTAGGGTTAAAGGCATGAGCACTGGGCTTGAAGGAATGGGGAGACGGGGCAGACTCATGGAGCTGTGAGGCTTCCCGGTGACGGCCAAAACTATGAGAGTTATGGTTCTGATACCACACTAGATAAGAATAGAAAATGCTATGAGGAGGCTCAAGTTAGAAGCCGGGGGTGGATGCCCTTCTTGTACACAAGCAGGCTTGCCTTCGCTAAGCTTCACAAGTCGAGCTTAAGGCTCAGCTGCCTGTGCTTACACGTCTTTCCCCATGTGCCAAGCCCACTTGGCAAGCCCTCCGTAAGCTGACGAGGAGAAAAATCGTCTCGAAGCCGAGATCAAGACCTTGTATGACTACCTCACAGAAGATGGTCACATGACAAGCTTTTGGAGGGGATACCTTCAGGCTCTTAAGGAATCATTTTTAAAATCACCTTGAAAGCGTCTCTGTGGCTCCTGCATGCGAGGTATGCCAGGCGTCTCGGGGCCTCTCGTGGATGAAGAGGGCTTTCCCAGAGGTGACATAGACCTCTATGCAGTTCGGCAAGCTCGGAACAAGTCGCATGGCCGATGTATTTCTCGAGGGGTTCTGTGCTAAGGGGAGTTGCACTCACTGGCAATCCGCCTTCTTCCCGGAAAACCTCAAGTTTGCGGCAACCGTTAATTTGGGCATGGCCGCATGTTGGAGGTTGAAACAGACAGCGTCAGTGCTGTTGCTTGATGCAGGGGCAGCCGAGGTACGTCTGCGCACAGACGGACCACACCGAAGTAATGAAGAAGATCGAAGAGGCACAGTTTGTTTGTGCATGCTGGCATTGACTTATAGTGTTTAGCCGCCAGGCACCCAAAACGCTATGAAGTCTCGCTCGCCTGCACCTCTGCACTCTCTCACTCCCTTGTTTCTCCTTCTCCGGCATATAGTAGTCAGTAGTCAGGGTTTCCCTGTGTAGCTTGCGGCCAGGCCATCGCAGCTCTTCATGCAGGGGCCAAGGCCGCGTGTCTGCGACAAGTCGCTGAAGCCCTGGTTGCCCTAAGGCTCCATGAACCAAGATTCATTAGTTAATTACGCCTTACTTTAAAGGTACTTTAAGGCTTAAGCACAATCGGTATGAATCCATGGAGCCGCCCATGGAGCCTTAGGGTTTGCTAAACGAAGCGCGAGCTGACGCTGGTCGTAGCAGCAGCAACATTTTGCTGGAGGTGTCCGGATTCGAAGCATGGCAGTTTGCTTTTCAGAGCGGCAGTCCCGCCTGGAAAGACTAGCACCAACATCGTAGTTCGAATGTTGTAAAGCACGACTGTAGAACACTATATCCCAGTCCGTCAATGGCAATGCACACGTGAGTCGAGTGGCACCGCCACATAATCCAAAAACCCCACAGCCACCCTGGCCCTAACCCCTACACCCGATAAACCCAGAACCTCCCAACCTGCTGCAAAGCCCGAGAGCCCTCCGCCTTTGAAACCTTGAAGCCATGAGCGGTCGAAGCCTGAAGCCCAGCAGCCTCAACCTTCAGGGAAAGCCTGGAAGCTTCCGCAGAATCCCAAACTGAAGCGCAGAACCACCCCTAAACTCAGAACCGGCAACAGACCTGCCCTGAACCCATTTAAGAAGTTTGCCTTCAAGACCTCTGCAGACATCTGTCAGGTGCACGTCCCGCGGTCAGGGCCTGCTGCAGCCGCCCCCGCCGAAGCCGAGGATGAGCCCATGTCGGAGAACCCGAGACCGGCCTCGGATTCGGGTTAAGTTTGTAGGATTTTAGAGGTTAGGGTTGTGGGTTTTGGGTTCAGGGTTTACAGGTTAGGGTAGGGCTCATAGAGGTTAGGGTTTAGGTTTTAGGGCTTCCTGGGGTTTGGATGCAGATTCGATCATACATCGTTAGTTTAGAAGTTTAGGGTTTGGGCTCAGATTCAGGGATTCTCCTATCTCCAAATTTCATGTTCATTGCGTCATGTGCAACATTAGTTGTTATCATGCGGTAACTGCGACAGTATGGTTGTATGTGTCGTTTTCTCGAGTACGGTATGTCGCACAGTTTGACCTTTGTATTCAATTTCAGGAACGTCCTCCTCCAGGTGAAGCTGGCGGCACCTTTTGATTTTTGGCTGCATCTACCACGACACCCCGAGTTTCCAGGAACTTCAAACCTGCAAACCAGAAAGAGAGCTACGATGTTTGGCTTTATTGTCTAGGGTTTAGAGAAACGTTCGGTGCGGGCTTTCTGTGTTCTGCTGCAACGCCTGCATTGTGCGAACAGCTGGTCCTCTCGCTTATGTACCCCGGCTTCAGGAATTTGGCTGACTTCTTCAGACCCTATAGGCGGCGCCATGGGTACACAAGTTCCTAACCCTACCTCAACCTCTCCAAATCTACTTTTGTGCAGGGTCCCTATAAATTCCATATTCCATGTTAGGGTCCTTGCCACACAAAGTAGGATATGGTAGTTTAAGCTATAATTAGGCTTGCAACCCCCTAAATCCTAAACCCTAACCCTAAGGCTTGCGTTGGTTCACTCCTCCTCCGCTTTCCTCATCCGACCCGCAAGAGCATCTAAGGCTGTTATCGACGAGGTGAGCGAAGGATCTCCTGCGCAGGTCTGGCGACAAGAAAGGTTTAGGGTCTATAGGGTTCATAGGGGTTTATATGGGTTAGGGGCGCGTGTTTGGCTAGACCGGCTGTAAACCCTAAACCCTAAACCCTAAACCCTGCTTCTAGCGTTAAGGGTTTAGGGTTTGAGGTAGGTCGAGCTGGCGACAAGAAAGCCCGGGGTCTAGGGGTTCAGGACTTGTAGCGGTTTAGGGTTTAAGGTTTATAGGGTTTAGGGTTTAGGGTTTCGGTGGTTGGGGTTGAAGGCCTTTGGGCTTGTAGTCGTTTGGGCTTAGGGATATAGGACTTTTGGGTTAAGGGCTACAGGGGTGTAGCGTTTAGGTTTATGTTGGGATTGATCACCTTTAGGCACGTAGTCGTTTGGGCTTAGAGATATAGGACTTTTTGGTTTTTGGGCTTTTGGTGTTTAGGGTTTAGGGCTTTTCAGAAGCTAAATCTCTTAAGGAAGGGCTCCGTTGCAAAGAAGGATCTTTAAGATCCGACAGCACGAAAACCGAAACCCGGTAGCCGAAGTACGCAAAACCCCTGCAGTTACACTCAAAGTGCCTCTCAGCAGCGGCAGCCATTTGATGCATAGTGATGAACCTTCTCAGCCCTTACTTGGGCAAAGAAATCCGAAACCCTACCCTAATCCCCCAGGTACCTACTATATAGAGTACTAGAGCCCAAAAGCAGGTACTTGGAGGTAGGGCTAAACCCAAGAGAAGTCTTTTGAAGTACCGGTGGTTCAGCGGTTGGGTCCAGTTTTTGCTTCGGGTTTGCTGAGCCGTGTTGGCTGCTCTCCCGCGCTGTGGCAAGCTTGCGTTATGAGACTTCTGCGTGCCTGCCTGTGCGAGTGTGCGTGTCGAAACCCCTAAACCCTAAACCCCAAAACCCTAAACGGCCCTAAACATTCTCCACAATTTCTTTGGCCAAGAAGCCGCAGGCTGCTGGCCTGCAGCTGGGCGACCTGATCTGCCGTTTCGGGCCGGTAAACCTTCAGGCCATGCATTGGGGCGTTTAGGGTTTGGGGTTTAGGGTTTAGGGATGTAGGGCCTGCATGGTTCCGGGCGAGAGAAGCCTGCTGCAAGCACTTGGGGTCCTTTAGGGTCTTACCTGAACCTACCGAGACCTCGGGCCTAGAGTTTTTGTAGTGCCTTATTATAGGCCCCAACAGGGAACATCTAGGGACCCTGCAAGGAGAGCAGGTTTTGG